TCTCTCTCTCTCTCTCTCTCTCTCTCTCTCTCTCTCTCTCTCTCTCTCTCTCTCTCTCTCTCTCTCTCTCTCTCTCTCTCTCTCTCTCTCTCTCTCTCTCTCTCTCTCTCTCTCTGTATGTGTGTACAAATCACTAAATCTCAACTAACAGGTTCAACATCGTAAGGGGCGTGGCTTCTGGCCTCCTATACTTGCATGAGGAGTGGGATCAAGTGGTCATACACAGAGACGTGAAAGCAAGCAACGTATTGTTAGATGCTGATATGAATGGTCGATTAGGTGACTTTGGCCTGGCAAGGCTATACGAGCATGGTTCCGACCCATACACAAGCCATGTGGTTGGCACACTAGGCTACCTAGCACCTGAGCTAGCTCGAACCGGCAAGCCCACCACTGAGTCAGATATCTTCTCATATGGGGCAGTTTTACTCGAAGTGGTTTGTGGTCGTAGGCCTATCGAGCCTCAAGGATCACCAGGAGAAGCTGTACTGGTCGACTGGGTTTGGAAACTGTTCATAGATGGTAGGATTTTAGAAGTTATCGATCTGAGACTCGGGGATTGCTACATTGAAAATGAGGTGCTGATGGTGTTAAAGTTGGGATTGCTATGCTCACACCCAATACCTGGCTCGAGGCCAACCATGAGGCAAATTGTCCAGTATTTGGATGGGGGGGTTGAGTTCCCTGATCTTTCAGTTGATGATATGTTGGTTAGCAATACGGAAATTGAAGAATATGTTCGAACATATATGTCTTTGAACGATGGATATGGAACGACCTCATCTATAATGCCTATCTCGGGGCTCTCGGGAGGTCGCTGATAATCTCAATTTTCTTTTTTGGTTATGGAGTCTGTAATAAAATAATGCATCAATTTTCAGATACTGATAGTATGAAATTTTGTGGTGTAGTGGCATTATATCTTAAATTAAGGTGATTATAAGCTTTTATTAAAAGTTGAAAACCAGAGGAACTGGCCTCAAGCCATACCAGAATATGGTGAAGGAAAAATAAAATAAAGGTAATTTAATGACTGTGCGAGTAGTTTTTATGATGCTCATTTCTGGATTGTCTCACCATGTCTGATTATATGAAGTCATTGATTTATCTCCACCTTTTGGCATTAATGTTTAATTCCTCTGCATTCAACAATGGTAACAGCAATCATTAGAAGTTTGGAAACTACATATAGAGCATCTACTAGAGAGAGAGAGAGAGAGAGTTCTTCCAATTCATGCCGATGAGACTAATAACCTATGTTGGAATCCAGAGAATCCAAAGAGAGAGTGTGTGTGAAAATATACATCCAGATAGAAAAGAGAGAGAGACTCAAAATGGTTTTCTCAGTGTCTAAATAACCAGTGATCCGAATTGGGGATTGATCTAGACCATAGTTATTGGGAGCGGGAGAGGGAATGGCTCCGGTTCCGGGAGCAGGAGTGTCGGAGTGACATCTGCCCAAAGCTCCGGAGCTCAGGGAGCGAGTTCCGGTGAGGATAAAAGTAGCGGCTCGAGATCCCGTATGAACAGGGAGCGCGTTCCCAAAACATCGGGATCGAGATCCCTATTTAACGAGAATGTTTTCCATGTCAAATTGGATCGTGTTCCCATATTCATTAGGATCGTACTCCCATTGACAACAGGATTGCGCCCCCATCTAAGAATGATTGTGTTCCTATTTGGAAAGAATCGAGCTTCATTCAAGGAAGGATCGCGTTCTGTGCATGATTAGCCCACGCTCCTATCGCAGAACTCTATTTTTATGAAAATTTAGCTTAAAATATAATTATTTTATTTTAAAAATTAATTTTATTTAAGAAGTTCCTTTTAGGATGTTTCAGGAAAATAGGGATGGAGTTCTGGAAATGTAGGGATCGCGCTCCTAAAACTCTGGGAGAGGGGATCTAATTTATTCAAGAACGAGATCCTAAACTTAAGGAACGCGTTCCGTGCAGTATCGGGAGCGAGTTCCGTTGTGAACGGGATCGAGAACCCTAAAAATAGGAGTGAGCTCCCAAAAAGTAAGGAACGAGTTCTGATCGAGATCCCAACTGCAGAGCGCCGAATGGATTCCGAAGCGGGAGCGCCACCCTAGTTGGGCTCTCCAGATAACTATGATCTGGACTGGCCAAATCTCCCGGTTCCCACATGATAGATTTTCTATTATTTTTCTTTTCTTATTCGTTTGAACTTTTTGTTTTTAGGCTGATTCTCACACTGAAGAACCAGTCCAATTCGTTGATCCCAATTGAATTTCCAAATGGCCGGTTCACCTCATTGATACGAATTTTAAGTCACTCTCTTATTCCTATTCAGGGGTACCATTGATCAATCCAAGATTGAAATGAAGGTGATTTTTCTTTTTGTTTGGGGGGGGGGGGGGGTGTTGGGGGTGGAGAGAGAGAGTTGACCGTGGAAGTCTTTGTAATAAGTTTGCAGCTGAGTGGTTGGAGCTTAATGGGAATATGTTGTTTTCTTATTCCAAAACTTTTGACTATGCTATTCATGAATTATCAACCAAACTTTGAAATACACAAATCATCAAGCCAAGTAGGAAAATACAGAGAGCTACAATTGAAAGGTACTCTCATGGGACCAGAATAACTGGGGCCATTTATTACTATTGGCGCATAAAGGACTGGGTCTATCATCTTGATGCCAGCTTTCTGGTTTTATTAATTGGCCGACAATTTTAGTCATTTTCTTCCACAAAATCCTTCATGCATATCTCAATGGATCCACAATAAATAGAATAAACCACAAGAGCACTAGAAAAGCTTCTCTATAGTTGACCTAGAAACTCATTATCACCATGAATCAGAAGAACTTTTTTAAATAGAACAAAGGAAGAAGAAAAGGAAGTCTTTAGGATTGGTGGGCTAAAATTGATTGGAATTAAGCCACACTTTGGCCTTCCAAACCCTGAAATTCATCAACAGTGAGCCTGAAGTTTGGCCATTTTCCATCTGTTTTTTTTAAAAAATAGAAAAGTAGACTTATTTTTGTGTTAGTGGGGGTGGGTGGCTTCTGTAACTGAAAAACTTGAAGACAAGAACCTCAAAAAGTTGATCAAATTTGAATTTCTTCCACGAAATATTTTATTCCTAAAATTTGCAGCACACAACATAAGTAAGACATAGAACAAATTTCAGCCATGTTCTGTGTAAAATTGTTAATTATAGTATGAACAAGATGTTCTAGAAATTATAAAAATGTTATACATCATGGTTATTTTATTAATCTTGGTATGAAAGCAACTTCGGCGAAAGCCTGTCTCCATTCAAAGTGCCCATTTTATGTCCCTTTCCAGATTTAGACATAAAATGCAATAGATCTTGCCCTAGAGGACATTGCACCAATACAAAACAATCTAGACTGCATTGAATTAATGTCTATCTCTCTGTTTTTCTTTTGTGGATTCTTTTATGTTTCTTTTTTTGACTTTAATGGTTGATAAGTTTTAGCTGGAATCTTGTTAATGCTATTGAGTGATCCACATGCATTCATGTCTTCATTTCTTCCAAATCCATCCACCTCGTATGGCACAAGTCAATCAGCCATGGAAGACCCTGTTTCGATAAGTTCAACCAGCCATGGAAGTTACTGAGTCAATTGCTGCCTCCTCCTCTCTCTAAGAACCAAATCAAAATGAAGGTTTCCTGCATCTATGACCCCATGAGAAAACTAATCTCACCTTTGCTTCTTTCTTTTCTTGTAATCAACCTCACTTTCTCAGGCACCGATGCCTTCACCTTCTTGGGCTTCCGTGGAGCAAACGTGAGCTTATCCGGTGGCTCGGAGATCACGTCAGGTGGTGCCCTGCAACTAACCAACAACTCTCTCAATATCATAGGCCATGCTTTCTATGCCACCCCATTTCAATTCAAGAACTCGTCAGAAGGGGACACCTTCTCTTTCTCTGCATCTTTTGTCTTTGCCATCGACCGTCCGAACCCTTTTGCAGCGAGTGGCTTCGCCTTTGTGATTTCTCCGACTTCCACCCAGTTTGAAGGAGCCACCGGAGACCAATACCTTGGCCTCTTCAACTCCACGAGCAATGGAGATCCTCGAAACCATGTTTTAGCAGTGGAATTTGACACTGTCTTGAACGAACAATTCAATGATATTAATGCAAACCATGTGGGTATCGACCTCAATAGCTTAACGTCAAATATATCGGCCTCTGCTGCTTATTTCATAACAGAGGGTCAGAACACAAGCAGAAACGATCTCAACCTCACAAGCGGAGACATGATTCAGGTATGGATCGATTACAATAGCTCTGAGAAGCTACTCAATGTGACTCTCTCCCCTAATGGAATATCAGGAAGAAACAGCCAGCCTCTGCTATCTCTAAAGGTCAATCTCTCCTCCATCTTTGAAGACTTTATGTATGCGGGTTTCTCTGCATCCACAAGCAGCACGTTTGCGAGTGTTCATTACATTTTGGGATGGAGCTTCGAGGTGAATGGGAAAGCTCAGGATTTAGATTTCTCTCAGCTTCCCTCATACAAAACTGGCAAATCGTCAGGTGGGCTTTCCTTGGGTTTCAAACTTGGGATATCCTTACCACTCGTAGTCCTCTTTGTAACCATGCTTCTCATCTTATACCTCATCCAAAACCAAAAAGACAATGAGAACGTGGAAGATTGGGAATCAGGATATGGTCCTCGAAAGTTCTCGTACAAGGAGCTTTCCCGGGCCACAAAAGGTTTCAAAGATGAAGAGCTTCTAGGATATGGAGGCTTTGGGAAAGTTTACAAAGGGGTACTTCTAAGTTCAGGAGTTCATATTGCAGTGAAGCGATTCACTAGTGAATCAAAGCAAGGTATAAAGGAATTTGCAGCAGAGGTCTCGAGCATCGGCAGGCTACGCCATAGGAACCTGGTCCAACTTCATGGGTGGTGTAGGCAAAATGGTGAGCTTCTTTTAGTCTATGACTACATGCCAAATGGAAGCCTAGACAAGCTCTTATTTAAGGAGGATGGCCCAATTTTAAGTTGGGGGCAAAGGTATAACATCCTTAGGGGAGTGGCTTCAGCACTTTTGTATCTGCACGAGGAATGGGAACAAGTGGTGATACATAGAGATGTGAAGTCCAGCAATGTTCTATTGGATGCTGACATGAATGGGCAGTTAGGGGACTTTGGGCTTGCGAGGCTTCACGACCATGGTGAAAAGATGCACACAACCCGTGTGGTGGGTACATTAGGCTACCTTGCACCTGAACTGGCTCGAACTGGCAGAGCCACCACCCAAACTGATGTCTTCTCCTACGGCATCGTATTACTAGAGGTGGCCTCAGGAAGAAGGCCTACCAGGCCACAAGGATTACCAGAAGAAGGTGCCCTAGTAGATTGGATATGGAAGTGCTTTAAGGAAAGGAAGCTCTTAGATATGGCTGATCCAAAGCTTAGAGATCATTATGTGAAGGATGAAATAGAGATGGTGTTAAAGCTAGGGTTGCTATGTTCACACCCAGTGCCTGAGGCTAGGCCAAGCATGAGGCAAGTATTCCAGTTTTTGGATAGAGATATTCCATTTCCGGATCCATTTCTTGAGGGTATGGTAGCTAGCAACAAGGAAATTAAGGACTATTTTCACTCCTCTCTGTCTTCTACAGGAATTTCTATAGGTACCATATCTGCACTTTCAGGAGGTCGCTAGAAGCCTCAATAAATTTTGTCTTAACCACAATCTTTGCTTAAGGTATTGCTTGATCATTTTCCTTTTTTCTTTAGTTGAGATGGAATTCCTTTTGTTGGGATTTGTAACCACAAATAAGTTATAAAGTGTAATAAATTTATCAAATGAATATTACATGGGATCAATTTGTGTGACATTCGAACACATTTCCGTATGCTAGGAGTAGAGAAGATTCCTGTAACCCTTAGTAGTAATAGTAACTGGTCCGTGTGATGCTTAATTGTTCCTCTGATCTATTAATCTATTGGTGCTAGTAAAGGCCGACAACAATGGTTTATCAAATTGTTAGAGAATCCTCTGTAAAGAGTGGATTTTCCTTCTGAAGACCTCTGTTAAAAGCCAAGTTGGTTCTCTGACCCTTAGTAGTAATAGTAACCGGTCCATGTGATGCTTAATTGCTCCTCTGATCTATTAATCTATTGGTGCTAGTAAAGGCCGACAACAATGGTTTATCGAATCTGTTAGAGAATCCTCTGCACAGAGTGGATTTTCCTTCTGAAGACCTCTGTTAAAAGCCAAGTTGGTTCTCTGTGAAATAATGGAAGCATTCAAAAAAATTTATTCACCAGTTAAAATATTAACAGATGGCATGGTTTTAATGGGTTGATCTTAACAGTCACCCGGGAGTGAACCACATATGGCAAGAAATATATGACTAGTTTCAAAAGCACAAAAAATCAGTCACTCTGAAATTAACAGACGACATGATGGAAGTCTTAACAACCTAAATTTGGAAAATTCTTGACAAATATGGTCACAAAACTGATCTAGAATCACAAGGACAAGCATCGACAACGTTGCCTTCTTGTTCGATTGATGCTCAAATGCTTTAAATCCAAGTCATAAAAGATCATATGAAGCATGACTCCAAATTTCTTTTCGGTTTTAGATCATTTTATGAGGTTTCAATGTGCTGTTTATAGCTCATTCCAATTCATGTATCTTTATCAACATACGTCTACATTTTCCTACCATTTGGCACTTTAAGGTGTTCTTTAGAAATAGATATGAGAGTTTTGGGCATTAAGAACCAGATAGTTACTATGGAACAGATCGAACAAGTCCACAATACTTCTGTGCCAATTTGTGAAATTCGATCCATGTCTTGTGCATTTAGAAGTCCATTCCAATGCTCATTTTTAATCCTAGTCTGAAAAGTAGGGCTACTCAGTTCTCCACTTATGCTCTCTCTATGGGTGTAGACCTTGGATGTTACGCTGCAATTGTTAATCCCCAGCAAGCTTTGGTCACCCCCCATTGAAGTCTCACATGAAATTTCTACCATGGATGAAGCATGATACACTTCATAAATTTAGCCCTCTTTCATTAGTCACAAAAGGGATAGTATAATATACATCCCAATGCTAGGGTAGTTCTTCATCCTAAGGGGTACACTGTCTGTTCCTGATGATGAACGGTGAATATGGTGTAACCAAATGAATTTCCACCATACATAATTCACAATAGATTGTGGACACCTCCCGTAATGCACTATATACAGTAGACACACTCACACCCACACACACATAAGATTTCTCTATGCAATACACTACTGTTTTTTTTTTTCCTTTTTTGGCTGGGGGTAGTTAATATACAACTGTTTCAAGGTACACAGCACACATTTGATTTTTTTCGTCTGTCCAGCTCAATGCAATACCACAAAGACAATCAGACAGAGATTTGGGTTTAATCGTTTGATTAATTTGTAGAAAACCATGGAGAAGGAGATAGATAAAGAACCATGGAGAATCAACTTAGGACATAAACAGTGCTTCATGTAAATAACTGTATCGTGCCATATCACTCTTTAATATGCTTAATACAAAGGGTATATAGAGACATAGTGATCTAGCCAAGCGCTGGGGTTTTCACAACGATGCCTGTGGCATCTACATAAAGGCGTACGCGACGAAGGTCGTAATCCATGGTAACGAAATAATCTGGTTTAACAACTTGCAACTGAACCATCGGCATGTCAGCTTTGATCTTCTTCTCAGCTTCTTCGACTGAAAGTCCTACCACTTCTGGCCATCCCTTCGCCCTTGGAGCCCCATGCCCTCGGGGGAAAAACCTTTGTGGTTCTCCTTGAACAACCGCATCCAAAACCGGACCTATTTAAGATTTTCATGAACTCCCTTAGACTGTATTCATGGACTGTGATAGTATTTTATTGAAAGAATTAAAAGGAGTAAAGAATCACTATTCCACATTGTCATGCGGTTTTTCTTGTTGAGAATTATGTTGGGAGGAAGAGAGATAAGATAAATGATGGGAAAAACTTACGAGTTTGATCGGTAGGCTCGCTTGGAGTAAGCTCTGTTTGTTGGTTCTCTTCTGCCATGACCAAGACAAGTAGTAGGCAACAAAGAAGGCGGACTGCTGGGGAGTGATTCATTTCATCAAGCTTTAATAGAACTGAGAGAGACAGAGAGATGCTAAAGTTATGGATTAAAAAATCTGCCGGCCTAGGGGCGTTGCAGCATTATTCTCGTAGAGGAGAGAGAGAGAGAGAGAGAGAGAGGAGGACGGTAGTAATAACGTAACCGACGTACGTTCGGTCGCGTACGTTCGGCCGGACGAAGTAAGGTAGGTAAGTAAAGTTAAAAGTTTAAAAGTCGACGTAACGGT